AAAAAAACTAGCCTATTTACTTTTTATTGAGGTCTAGTGTCTTAAGAAAAAATCTTCCTCTTACAACAACTAATATTCTATTCTAATCGCTCACTGCAAGTTTATCTAGTACTATTGTGACTTTTCTTGCACTTTGGTTCTGCTCTGGTTTTGGTTACAGTGATCGTCAGAAAGAGTTATTGATTATTGCCAATTTTGATTTTAGCTTTTATAATTAATTTTTATATATTGTTAAATTATTTGAATTTATATATGTATCACAAAAGTATAGTACAAAAATTTATAATTTGATTGGCCAATTGTCATGTGATTATGTTTCAATTTAGTGTTACACAATGTCCAATGTCCAGCCCAACACTGACTATACGTATAATGTATACGTACGTATAAATACAGTAAATTACTTATATATAACGCACTAAATCACACTAATACGTAGTATACTATATTTTAATGACTAATTATTAATAAATTGAAATAAAACGTTTCTTTAAAATTTGAATTACAAATTGCTATGGATTGCAGAACGAAAAGGTCTGCAAATCGGTACCATATTAAGCTGTAGTTAACATTTCGATATCGACCAATCAAATTAAAAGCCCGTTATACTCCATGGTAATGTTCTTTTGACAATTGAAATTCTTTGGTTTATTTTCTTGAGTATCGCATGACGATGCAAAACGAAGAATGGAAAGTTGTTTCGAAAAGAATGGCAGTAAAACCTGCAAGAATACCACCAACGATAAAAAAACATAATTTTCAGTATCTAAATAAAGATTTTAAAAAAAAGGATCGTAGTAAAAATGCGATGCAGAATTCGTCCGAGAATGTGATCTATTTTATAGAGGAGAAAATGTTCGTCAAAGACATTTTGATACGTATGAGATAACATGACACATTAAGAGGAAAGATTAATTTTATCATTTTGATCTATCAGGCAGGCATTAAAAAAAAGTGAATTTTTTCAGGAATTGAAAAGTAATTAACATTTCTGAGAACAGTTTTTAAAGTTACATTACAGCGAAATCAATCAAAGAAATTATTTGTTTTAGAGATTATCGATTTCCAACTTCTTCCGCCAAATCGTCCAGCACTTGTTGATATAGTATGCTACGGAATCGGAAGCATCGAAAAATCCTGCACATCACAATATCAATTCGCATTAATGTTGCTTTTTAAGAACTTATTTCAGGTGAATTGGAAATAGCCATTGACAGCAAATTTTAGGACATTAATAATACATGTAAAACATTAAAGATAATAGGAAAAATATATGCGTATGATCCTATTTTTTCCCAAGTTGATACTGAAGTTTTGACTCATTATAATATTGAATCAATTAAAATCAACGAGGTATGTTCAAAAACTCCTATTACCCTAAATGGTAATATTACCGTGCAAATTTGATCTAATGGAATCTACTTGACATAATAAAGAAGGCGAAACGCGTTGTCACTAATCAAACCTTATTTTATATGCCGCATTGTCCACTCGGATTATATAATAATTTGATCGAGGCCAATTGGGACAGAATAAAACTAAAAGATGTCATTATCGTTGGAAATCGATTTGATTTTTATAATGAAAGGTACATTCATCATATGGTTCGCACTAATATTAAAAATAAAATAACAATTATTCGATATTTGTCAAGAATGACCACAGCTTCTCTCGAACGCAAAGCACCTTATATAATACCAATATCCTTCCTTATAGTCACAGCTTGTATGTTAGTCTCGAATAATGATATTTCATCTCCTTAACCAGTTCTTGTGTCTTTTACGCTTTAAAGATTCTCAAAATTCATCTTTTCCCTTCGACTACTATTCAATCTCCTGCGATACCAGACAATACATTTAACGACTTATGTTGGCAATGGTTTCCAATCGACAGGGTAGATTCGTATAAAGAAGATAGTGAATTTTGGATCTTGAAACGAGAATCGAATGAAGATCAAGAAATTATCTAGTCCATATCTAATATAAACATCCATGTATATTTTATATCAACATGTGAAAAATCAATTCATTGATCATATATTCTAGTAGAGTTGTATCCGTACAAGCTCTTCTGAAATTAATGGGTAGATGATAATAATAATAATAAAAATAATAATTATAATAATAATAATAAACAGACTGTATCTGGATGAAGAGCCCACTCGGATTCAAGTTCTAGTTCAACTCAGCCGAACAATGGCTATACAAACCGTAGATAAAACTAGAAATGCTGATAAAATTTAAATAGCTAAATATACACAACATTCCCTAGTAGGTGATTCAGAATTAACTCATTCCATTAATTCTGAATCAACATTCACCAATTTCATCAATAATGGTGGTGAAATTATTTTATCAGCATCTTTAGATCAAACTGCAGTTCAAGTCATGGTTTAAACTCAAACTTGGAAGCTGTATCTTAAGTTAAGGCTCTCTGATATTGTGTTTCCATGATTTTAATAATTTGAACTACATGAAGTAGTTTAGTTTCATAACCATGCTTAGCTAACCGGTAGATACAGCCAGAAAATATAATATTCACATAATTGTTACGAGCTGAATTACTCTTTATTGATTCTACCAAACCTTACACTCCCTTACCATCAATTCAATGCAATTAATTAGTTCTTTATTATCAACGTCTTCACTATTAACAGCATT